TCTCGGCGGCCTTCTTGCTGGGTATCTGCTCCTTGTAGTACGACTCCTTGTTCGTAACGTTGAAGTAGTACAGCTGGCCACGCGATCGCGAGTGGGCGGACACGTAGTTGGTGGTCAGCTCACAGAACATCAGTATGCCGCCCGGCACGAAGAACTTGTTGTCGTCCAGCGCATATCCAAATCTCTGCGAATTATCCTTCAGCACGTAATGCCGCATGTCTGCAAAGAAACTGCCCATATCCCGCAGCCGGAAGAAGGGTTTGCTGCGTAAAGCTCCAAACGTTCGCTCCTTGCGATGCGGTTTGTTCAGACTCCGGGCAAACTTATCGCACATGCTCACGCGTTCGCGGAACGGTCTTCGTCGGATGTCAATGCCACCCAGGCAGATGCCATCGATAATGTGCAGTGCAGCCACCCGCTGAATCGTCCTGCCCTCGCCGTAGAACTCGTACACAATCTGACCGAAGAAGATCGAGCGCGGCTGCACCTCAAAGGCGGTCTCCACCAGCTCCCACTTCTTGTGCTCCGTGTAGCGCAGCAGATTGCCCCGCGACTTACACAGGAACAGAGTGCAGGCATTGATGTTCGTCTCCTCGCGACCCACGGGCACAAAGTACCAGTCCGCCACGTTCTTCACGGCCATGTTTAGATTCGGCACGCCGTTCATCTCGGCGGCCGTCAGATTCAGCCAGCTGCGATCGGACGCCCAATCGCCCAGGAGTTCCTCCAGAAGCCTGTCCGTTGGCTTGATCTCCGGCGCCTGGCGCAGTTTATCCGGCAGTCCCCAACGCTTGAGGCACTCCTGCCGCACCTCCGACTGCTTGGCTTCCTTCAGCTCCGGATTCTGGGCGAAGGCGGCTATCTTGCGCAGGCCTACGATCTGCTTCCGGCCAATGGCATTGTTCGAATCGATGACGTAGCGCAGGAAGTCCTCGTCCTCGGCCAGCTCGTTGGCATCAAAGATCTCCAGAACGTCGTTTTGGCTGTCCTCCTGCTGCGATTCCTCGCTCAGCATGAGGTTCACCGCATTCAGGTAGGCTATGATGGCCGCCGTCTCCGTGTCCGACCGTTTGTACTTGCAGACCAAGTAGCGCTCCGAATTCGCCGGTCGGCTGCTGTTCGGCTTGATGATGGCTATCTGGTGGAAACACTTGTACATCAGATAGACCAGACCCACGCTGAACGGTGTGAACAGGTCGAACACCTTGCACACGAAGCTGCCGTTCTGGCGCAGGATCTTCAGGGCGGTGAGGAACTGACAGAGGTACAGCTGCTTGGACAGGATCTCCTGGATGTTCTCCTGACCCTCCACCGAGAAGCCGCCATCGGCCATGGCAAAGTGAACGCCCTGCGGCGTGTGTAGACGGATGTATTCGTTCAACGAGTCCTGATTGCTTTCGTCGAAGATGTTGCCATCCTCCTTTACCCCGTAGAAGGTATCGAAGGACTCCGGCGAGGCGGCAAAGAACTTTTCCAGCTTGAAGTCGTTGGCGCCGCGCAGCGTGAAGCCAAATCCTTTGGCTTCCCAGGATTTGCGATACAGCACGTACTCGGAGAAACCACCAGGGCCTGTTAAAAAAAGAGAAGTCGAGGTTAGTCAATTTCAAAGAGTTTATTTCCTAGGGCAAGAATGCTTTTTAATCTGTATAAGTTGTACAATACCGCTCTTACCAAACGGAAACACTCTGTTTATGCAAAATGAAAAGGTTTGAGAGGTTAGTATACCACATCTTGGGTTTATGGTTTATTTCTCGACTAGTCAAACTGATAAGACATGCAAAAGTAAAACTTGGTTTCCGGGGATTCCCCGAAATAGTTTTCCCTCTCCCCGAGACTTCACCTGCACACATGTCCGTGAAGTAGAGGAGCTCGTCGGCAGCCACCAGAGATTGGCCATCGAGATCGCGGGGATTGGTGAACATGAAGTCGCACATGGAGTCGATGTTGGCCATCTTGACGGCGGCGCGATTGAGGAAGATGGAGCTGCGGATGGTCTCGAAGGGATTGCAGCGGGATCTCGCCCGCCGCTTCTCGCTGTCGTTGAGATCATCGAATACGGTTTTGGCATTGAGGATGTGATGCAGGGTGGCTGGATCGCAGTAGCGTGTCTCCTCGTCCAGGGTCAGTTTCTTCGGGCCGGTGACCACGTGCCCCATCAGCTGATCGAGGCTGTATGAGTCGGCACCGCCGCCCGGATTGTGGAGCCAGAGGACCGGCTCGGGTATCTCGAGCTCCTCGCAGGCAGGATCCCATTGGCCGGCCGAGAACTGGACGGTGTCCAGCTTGAGGCCGAAGCCACGGCGGCCATCCTGCTGCACGGCGATGACGGGCTCCAGGCGGCCCTGGTTGCTCTTGCCCAGACCCTTGTCGTTCTCGTAACCCATCTTCTTCATCATCTCCATGGCCTTGTTGGAGTAGCTCTTCACCCACTCCCGCTTGATCTTCTTGGGCGTGGGCTCCGAGTTCTCATCGTCCGAGGGCTCGTCCATCTTGCACTGTTCGCTGGGATCTGGAATCTGAACCGGGCTCTGGGATTTGGGGATCCTCCTCGAAATTTGCAGCACTTTGTTTATAGAGGGATGTGAAAAATACATCAAAATAGCAATCGATATTTTTTGAATAAGAATAATTATATCGATATATTTTTTCATGTGATATAATTATCGCTATCAGCAAACGTAAGTGCCAGAAACGTAAGTGTTAGCAAACGTTGTGTCAGCACGTAAGAGCCTCAGTAAAAGAGTAAGATAGCACCAACGTCAGTGTCAGAAAAAGATGTTTTGGCATTACGACTGTTATTGGTTTTCATTAAGAAAAAATAGTCGCTTATTGTTTTCTTATGACGGTTTAAAATGATAATTCCGTTGGTGTGTATCATTTTTCGTCACAACTTTTGAACGATTTTTATGGGATCTTTAATATTCTTCAACATCGTTAGGATGTATTTTCGTTTGATACTTTATAGGGCTGGACTTCCCTCTGCCAGTTACATACATACTATTCAATACAATACAATGTATTTGCTTTTAAGTATATTCGAGAATTAGTTGTACCTGACTTTCGGTTAGCTAATAAATAGCTAAATATTTATTAAATCGGGGAAATAACATACTTCAGGCGCAGAATAAGGTTTTGTTCATAGTTTAATCATGCTGGATAATTGTGATACGTGGCCTTCTATGGACCGGTCCAGCTGCGGGACCGAGTGCGGAATTTCAATGTGGAAAAGACAGCACCGAAAGAGGATGCAGTGACAGCATCGGATGTGGAAGAATTGGAAGCAGCGGAAGTGGAAGGAGTGTCAAAATAGATAGAAGTGTCAGCATCCATAATGGATGAAATGGCAGCAGCAGAAGTGGAAGGAGTGTCAGCATCGGAAGAGGATGAAAGGGCAGCAGCGGAAGTGGAAGAAGGCTCAGCATCGGAAGTGGAAGAAGGCTCATCATCGGAAGTGGAAGAAAGCTCACTATCGGAATTGGACATAATCTCAACATCGGAAGTGGGGGAAGTGTCAGCAGCGGAAGTGTCAGCAGGTGCCACCCAATTAGGCGGGCTTCCGATCTCCTGTTCGGGCATTTGAAGGAGCTCGCCCTCCAGATAGAACATCACGCCCGCCTGACAGTTGTGCCAGGTGGGCAGCATTGCTGTCTCTTCCGAACGCGGCTTGGGCAGATACTCCTGGCTGACATTTTCGGCCAGCAGCTTCATCGATCGCTCGCTTGGTTTCTCGCTCTTCCTTAGCTTGCGGGTCCGCCTCAGCTTCGTCATCTGCAGATCCTCGACACTCACGGTGGAACGGTTCGCCAGCTGGGCGAAGTGGTGGGCCTCCACCAGTTTGTCCCTTGCCAAAGCTGAAGTAAATCACTCACTAATTATTTGTCCCACCTTTTGGGGTTCAACTCACTGTAAGTCAGGTCCAGGATAAGGCCACGAGTCTGCGGTTCCGCCTCTAAGCCATGGTCCTTTAGCAAACCGTCCACGAACGCCAGATCAGCAGGGATATCCAAGTTGTGCTCGCTCAGCTCATAATTCGTTTCCTCGGCCATCGTTAATGGGAATATTTTTCAAGTGCTTTAAAATTTCTTGACAGCTTGCTAAGGCCAACCTGATTAGCTAAAATCATTTCAGTTTTGCAGGTTAGTCGGTTGAAACTCTGGACCAAGGTATTGTCATAAAGACATGCCCAAGAATCATTACTTAGTGGAACGGAACTGGGCAGTAAAACAAATTAAAGGAAAGTGGTATACTAAGTAGTTTCAAGTCGTTTTCTTAAAGTAAAATTAATAAAAATCAAATAGAATATTAAGTAATTTTAAGTCGTTTATATATTCATTCTCGTATATAATGGGATTACAGCAAAACAATCTTGGTAATACCTAATGATATTGTTTTCCGCTTCACAAATATCTTGAAAAAATCCTAGGCTACCAAGAACATTTTTTTTTAAAAATATTATTCTAAGATTTAGTAGCAATCATACTTCTTTTGTCCTGTTTATTGAATAATGTTCTTGAATCTTTAATATTGCGTTTAAGAATAATTTTTTTTTGTTTCAAGAACGCGCAGCATATTTATTCTAAAAACAAGCCGAAAAATTACTATCCGAAATCAAGTAAAAATCGCGCTAAAGTTTAGGATGGGTTTTTTTCTGAGTGCACTTTTACCAGTTAAGAAAAACTAACGCTGCTTGAGCATTGAATTTTGTTTCCGCGTATCCATACTCATCTGTAGGGTCATGTAACCATTTAAATTGAGTTAAGCAGCTTAATAGAATACATTTAGCTCTACGACTTTTGGAAACAGCGAAAAGAGCGCCACTTCTGATTTCATTTCTGACGTATCCACTAAATAATTAATCTCAGCCCAATGTTCATGAAAATACCATGAGTCCAGAGTTTCCGCCAAACAACCTGCAACCCAAAAATAATTTTAGTTGATCAAGTTGGCCTTAGCAAACTGTCAAGACATTTTAAGGCACTTAAAAAATATTCCCATTTACGATGGCCGAGGAAACGAATTACAAGCTGAGCGAGCACAACTTGGATATCCCTGCTGATCTGGCGTTCGTGGACGGTCTGCTTCAGGACCATGGTTTGGAGGCGGAACCGCAGACTCGTGGCTTTATCCTGGACCTAGCTTACAGTAAGTTGAACCCCAAAAGAGAGGGCAAATATTTAGTGAGTGATTTCCTTCAGCCTTAGCAAGGGACAAACTGGTGGAGGCCCAACACTTCGCCCAGCTGGCGAACCGTTCCACCGTGAGTGTCGAGGATCTGCAGATGGCGAAGCTGAGGCGGACCCGCAAGCTAAGGAGGAGCGAGAAACTTAGCGCGTGTTCGATGAAGCTAATGGCTAAACAATTTAGCCAGGAGTATCTGCCCGAGCCGCGTGCGGAAGTGGGATTAATGCTGCCCTACTGGTACAACTGTCAGGTGGACGTTATGGCCAAGCTGAAAGGCAAGATCATTCAATTCCCCAAGCGGAGGATCGGAAGGCCGCCTAAATCGGTGGCACCTGCTGCCACTTCCGCTGCTGACACTTCTCCCACTTCCGCTGCTGCCATTTTTTCCACTGCCGATGCTGACACTTCTTCCACTTCCGAAGACGAGACTTCTTTTACTTCCGCTGCTGCCACTTCTTTTACTTCCGCTGCTGCCTCTTCCTCCACTTCCACTGCTGCCAAATCTTCCACATCCGATGCTGCCACTTCTTCCGCTTCCGCTGCTGACACTTCTTCTACTTCCGCTGCCGCCACTTCTTCTACTTCCGCTGCTGCCATTCCTCCCATTTCCAATGCTGTCACTGCATTCACTTCCGCTGCTGTCTTTTCCACATTCAAATTCCGCAGTCGGTCCCGCACCTGGACCGGTCCATAGAAGGCCACGTATCACAATTATCCAGCATGATTAAACTATGAACAAACCCTTACTCTACGCCTAAAATATGATATTTCCCCGATTTAATAAATATCTTTAGCTATTTATTAGCTGATCGAAAGTCAGTTTTGTAATCTCATGGCTGTTACTAAAAAATAAGAGTTATGGCCATGTTACTCATTCTGATATAAAAAATGATTCGCTGATAAAAAGTTACACTTGCTAAAATAAATACTAAATATTAAATACATAAATTCCACGCTAACTTTGAACATTTTCAATTATTTTAAAAAGTATAAAATGTAAACGATCACGTATCGATAACACCTAAAATGGTCGATATCATCCAAATTATCCACATTGCCAGGAGGCTGTCTCCGCTAACTGTCAGGGTTGCCGGACGGGAAAACCAAACACAAGTACCCATCCCTGGCAGCCGGCGCCTTGTCGCAACCGAAGCAAACTTGCCGCGTTTTATTGCCATTCTGAACGAGAACTGCGAAACCAAGTGAAATGGATGGTGAGTGAGGCTTCCCAATCGCCCAATCACTGGGCAACCTTCAATTGCGCCCAATACAACCCTTTTCCGCCGGCCACAGGTGTAACCGAGGACATGTGGACGCCGTACAAGCATCTGTACACCGTTTTCCAGGCGACGGTGGCCAATCCCAGTGGCGTCATCACGGATCTGGAGCTGTGCCTCAAAAAGTACAAGCACAGCTTCACCAACTTCCTGCGCAATCCGGTGGGTAGAGTCCTAGGTGTTCCACTAAGCTGAACCAGGTAACTAATCCTTGCAACTCTTATTCTTGGCAGGCCAAGAGCGAAAAGAGCCGCAGCCACCTGAGGAATGCTCTGAACGAGGGCATCCCGCTGCCGGGACAATCCCGGAAGATAAAACTCTCACAGGACCTGGTCGACGAGGCCCTCATCCTCTCTGACATGTTCGACCTGGACGAGGTGTTCGCCGTGGAGCTGCTCTGCACCGCCCAGCGGCAGCAGATGCATCACCCAGGTCTGCCCAGGGGCCTGGTGGCGGTGCTTCTCTATTACGACGGCAGGAAGGCCATCAGTTGCGCCCTGCGCGACATGTTCCAGACGGTCAGCGGCGTTTCCTGGAGTACAGAGCTGCCCAGGGAGGTGGGTTTTTAGATTGGGATATACACAGTTCCGGATCCACTAAATCGGGTTTTCTTTTATCTTCCAAACAGATCACCTGCCTGATCACCAACTACGTCCAGAGTCTCGTAGAGGACTCCAACATACTGGGACGCCTGCTGGAGCTGCTCGAAGAGATGGATGTGGACAAGGAGGTGAGTTTGTGTTCCTATATAGGAACCCTCAATCCTTTTCATTAACCATTTTTTTGTGCCACCTCTGAATTTCATCAGAAATGAAATCTTGTTCCCCATTTACATATATAACTATACCCAAATTAATAGGTCTACCAATCATTTCAATTCTTTCCAGTGCATACTGCTGACCAAAAACCGCGCATTCGGCTCCAAGAAGCACCAAAACCAGGTGCTCGGCCTGTACGAGGACATTCAACGGGCAGTGGCCATGGCCCTGTTCCACTGGTCAGCCCAGCGCGGCCTGCCGCGATCCATTGCCATCCGACTTTTGCAGCAGCTGGCCGCCCGAAAGACCAACGACGCGGACGGCAACATCGACGACGTGACCCTGATCATGCTGATGGCCCTGCTGTACGCGTACGACACTTCGGTGCTGCTGGTCAGCGAGTATATCAATCCGCACACAGCCCGCCTGCCGATCCTCAGCGATCCGGAGTTCGCCAAGGGCTTCCTGGAGGCTCTGTACGCTCAGAGCAGCTGGCAAGCCCCGCGCCTGGACGCCATCATCACCTACAGCTTTGGGTTGACACTGGCCAGCCTGCGACATGCCCCCGGCCAGCTGCAGGCCGCCGCCCTGTCGGCCATCAATCGTGATGAGATCCTCATCGACGAGGCTCTGGGAGCCCAGGTATTTGGTTTCTTCTACCGCCTGCTGCTCGAAAAGGATCTTGTCTACAAGTAAGTATTGCCAACTAATGTCCCAAACCCAAAAGTTACACAGTTGCATAGTGATTCTTGTTAAGATTAAAAATCAAATATAAATCTGACTGTTCACTAACCGTTCCATCATCTTTTCCTGTAGCACCGAGTTCTTCTACCGCCGCGTGCACTTGCTCATCACGGACTTTATCGACTTCATGCACGCCAAGGTGTCGGAGCTGCGCGGTCGGGCGGACGAGTCGGCACGCACGGTGATCAGCTTCCTGAACGAAGGGCTCGAACCGCCGCCGAACCTGGACTCCAACTTCGAGCTGCTAATGCTGTGCGTGGCCAAGCTGTACGGCGATCCGCGGGTCAGCATAAAGCTCTGCAACGAGTACTGGGGCCCGAGTGATCCCACGGGCTCAACATTCGGGGTCATACTGCCCACAGCGTTCAAGAACACCTCGCGTTCGGTGTCCCTGTTTAAGTTTATTAGCTTGGCCAGCGAGCTGCTACCTCAGACCCTATATAAATCCTACCTCAAGATGATATCCGGCCTCACGCGCACCGAGTTCTCTGCGCGCTGCGCCTTCAACATGCTAAAGCTGGCCCAGGTGACCACTGGCACCTATGCAGTCAGTTGGGATCACTTCTTTACGACGCTGGCGAACTACTACAAGTATGTGCTTATATACTAGGGATCTCCGCATTCTTCTAACGATACTGTTTTATTTATCCAGTTTGATGCGTAACGACTTCAACACCAGCATCACCACAGGCGGCGAGACCATCTACCGGAGTCGGTCGACACCAAGGATCATCACTCAAAGGGAAGCGGAGCATCTGGTGGCCGTCATGGGCATTATTCAGGCTGTGGCCGAGCACGACGAGATCTCGCGCATTATGATCTGTGAGCAGGCCAACTGGCAGCCGCCACAGGTGCTGCTGGGCTTGGTGGCCTGCTCCACGCCGCTGCTGCTTAAGGCGGAGATCCTCTTCACGCTGGCCGCCCTAGCAAAATCCAAGGAGACAGCACGCGCCATCTGGTTCCATCTGGAGGACTCGCAGATCATACCCACCGTCCCGGTGTCGAGCAACTACGGCCAGTGCAGTCTCGCGGAGGAGATCGATCAGAACGAGAGTCGCCTGGAGCAGTACAAACTGACCCGTGGCATTCTGCAGCTGCTTTACACACTTATGACCGGACATATGCCAAAGAGTCTGGGCGTGGGTCCGCGAAAGCCCGGCTACGATGCCTACCTCAATTTTGTACTGGAGTCTGTGCTGCTCAAGTTCTACAATCGGGCGTACAAGGATCCCGCCGAGAAGTGGCAGGTGGGCGCCCAGTGCCTGAAACTGCTGTACTATCTGCTGGCCACCTACCGCCCTCGGGCCTCCGACTTCCAGGAGGCGCGCGACGAGCATCCCTATCCTGGCTTTCACGTAATGATGCAGCTGCAGGTCAAGTCCAATATGCTGCAACTTATACTACGCATCGTGGAGGAGGCGCGTGAGAGGTTGGACGACTACAACCGCTTCCACGGCAAAGAACTGCTCGAGGAGTGCTCCCTGTACGCCCTGCTGCTGCTCGAAGCCGCGCTGGCCAAGCAGAACGCCTTCTTCGAGACCCATTCGGCGGCCAACTGTCCCATCATGCTGTCCGGACTGAATCGCATGCTCCTGGACCTGAATCCGCGTAGCCGCAAGCCCGACCACGTGCTAAACATCGTCAAGTTTGTGACCTACAACAGCTGGCTGCCGCGTCACTCACTGGCCGCCGTCAAGATCCTGAGTGCGGTAACCCAGCTGCCGAACGTCTCCGCCCAGATCCTCAGCATGTACGCTCAGGGCAGCAACGAGAAGCTTGAGATCCGGCAGGGATTCGTCGAGTGCCTCGAGATGGATGTGGGCGTGGCAAAGCATAGTGACGAGCTACTCGACCAGCTGGCCCTCAACGATCATGTGCCGTTCCTAGGCTTCGGCGAGGATGTCGACAGGGAACGGGAGCGGATTAGGGAACGGGAGGATCCTACATCGGATTCACGAATAGAACTGAACATAGAAGAGGCCGCACTGGAGCGCAAGCCGGCGCGTATCGAGCTGCAGCTGAAAGAGGCAATCGTCCAGATGTTCGAGGTGAATCTCAGCCAGCAGTTGCCTAATTTTGTCTACTTTCTGCTTGGCGTGGACGTGCTGCGCGACTTTATGGCCAATGAGAAGCAGCACCTGGGCATAGAAATGCACTGCTCGTGCGTTAACTCCTTGGTGTTGCTGCTGGAAAAGTACCTGGAGGTGGGTTCAATCCATTTGACGATAGGTGGTTTTCTTAATTAATCCTTTTGCCTTCTATGTTTACAGCAACAACGACACAGCGAGGAGTACTGCGAGCACACGGCGAACATCGTGGAGCGCATCTACCACCTGTTCCACGGACTCTGCGCCAACCGCCGCACGACGGAGACGATTCTTCGCTACTTCCGCCTGACTTGCAACGACTTCCTGCTGCGGCACCTCAACTCCCTTCCCTTTCGGCAGCACCGCGAGGATCATGTGCTGCACGCTATGAGTCACCTGCTCAACTGCGTGTCCATCGATGTCAAGTTGGCTGCCACACATGGCCAGACAACGCGCTACAACCTGTTGTGCGACATATTGCTGATGGGCAACGGATCGGAGGCACAGCGCTCAGCGCATGGCTTGCCGATGGAACTCGGTCACAGCCTGATGACTCCGTCGGCGCCCTTCTTCGCCATGGATCTGTTGCCGGGCGGAGGATCGATAAATGGCTCTGGATCGGGATCGGGCTCGGGACCTGGCGGAGCCCCAGGAACTGGGTCCAGCGCCCTGAAGCCGGCACTGCTCCAGGAGACGTCGCAAGGGCTGCATGCCAACCGACTGCTCGATTGCCTTGTCCTGGAGGTCGACACCTTGACTCACCCGCAACTGGAGTTCTTTGACACGCAGCTGACCGCTCAACTGCTACGAGACTGCGAGTCCGCCGCCGAATCTGGAACAAATTCCTCGGCGAACTTGATCAACGTGCGCAAGCTGCACGACATCCTGCACGACGAACTGCGCATGGTACAGAGCACCATAGTCAGCGGGCAGCGGAAGGCCATCTCGACGGAGATCACATTGTTGCTGAAGCACGCCGTGAGCCTCAACCGGGTGCGGACCCAGCGCTGCGCCACTCTGGCCTTCATGGAAGCATGGGGCCAACTGGTGCAGGTGCTCTTCAGCAGCATGCCCGAGGCCGTGCTGCCAGTGACGTTGCGGCGCCAGCATATTATCGACATCATCGAGAAGATCCTGATCAAGGTGCAGCCTATCCAGCCAATCATCGAGATCTCCATTCAGGTCAGCGAGACGGTGCTGCTGCTGCTGGCCAATCTGCGCTACTGCTGCTACCAGGTGGAGGACCAGCGCACTGAGGATCAGGCCAACGACGAGTCTCTGACGAACGGGAACGGCATCGAATCCCAGGCGGCCAAGCTGAGTCTGGGACATAGGAGCCTCGGCAACGGTCTGGCTAATGGCTCAGATGGAGGAAGGGAGGCCGGTGCCAACAGCAGCAATCTGCGGTTCATTCTCAAGAGCCTCGTCGAGTGGATCATGATCAGCGAGGTGAAGTCGCAGAAGCTGCGCATCAATTTGTACAGTGCCCTGCTGAACTGTCTGCGGATTGCGAAGCGACTTCGCTCCGACGAACAGCTGGAGTACCAGGAATCGTAAGTGCCTTCCCATGCGTCACCTAAAGTTTGCCACTAATTTCGCATTCAATTACAGGGTCACATCCCGCCAGGAGAGCTCAGGGATAAACAACATAGAGCTGCGGCGCGACGACCGCCAGCGGCTGAAGGCCATGGCTGCGGACGTGATCGCAACGTTTGGCGAAAAGATGATCGACACCATCTGCCACGACGCGGTGACCGGGCACGACGTGTGCCGGATGCTAGCACTGGCCTGCCTGGACATGATCTCCGAGCTGCATGCGGTGAGCACGCTCTGCGACTTTGTGGCCACGCGAGGCTACCTAAAGCACATTCTGGACAGCCTGGGCAAGTCCAGTGAGTCGCTGTGCGCGATTCTGCAACCGGTGCCCGATCACCTGAGACCACTCTACGTCTACGAGTCGCGGATGGCCTTCCTCACGCGGATGGCGAACACAGCCCTGGGCGCCCGCATGATCTTGGCCGAGCGAGCACTGGGCGTGCTGTCGAATATGCGGGTCTACGACCTGCAGCCTGACCTGAAGGGCACCGAGCTGAAACGCAATGAGCCGCAGTCTTTCCTGCCGGCAGTCGACGAGCGCTTCCGGGCGATCCTTTTGCCAGCATTGGCCCTCTGCGATGCCATTGTCAACTCGTTGGGATCGCGAAACAATTCCGCCGCCCTGCAGGTTCTCAACTTCCTGTTTGCCCATATCGACATGGTAGAGGCGATGCTGCGAACGGCCACTCCCTTCATGGATCTGGGCCACCTGCAGCAGCTGGCAGTCATTACCAATCTGTTTGCCCGCACCACCACGCACGAGGTGACCACGTTGGAGGACAGCCTGGACGTGCAGAACGACCTGGAGCTGCGCAACCGTCTGGGTCGACTGCAGCAGCTAATGATCGTCGTCTTTGGACGCTTCTCCGTCAGTGAGCTAACCATTAGGCGCATGCTGCAGCAGGATCAGGACCACAGCGAGCCGGCCGAGAGCTCGAAAACGCTGCGCGTCAAGTATTTCCTGGACATCGCTGCCAACCTATCGCTATACTGCCGCAATGCGGTCACCAGCCATGTCAAGGACAGCATGACCTCCAAGTACTTGCTGACCACCATGATCAACGATGTGACGCCACTGTAAGTCCCAATCGGCTTGGTTATACATATATAAATATTACTTTTTCATCTCCTTGAAGCACTGGCAAAATGGACAGCAAGAAGCTGACGGCCATTATGCACACAATCCTCAACCAGCTGAAGGGCTCCATTGGCTACTACCTCTCGCAGAAGTCGATCGCCGACAATCTGCTGCAGCAACGCGCGTCTCTGCCCAACATCAGCTTCGGTCCCAGCGGTGAGTGCTCCTGTCCTATGCTTAATCTGTTCCCAAACTCATCATTTTGTTTTTTTTTCACAGGCAAACAAAGCTATGTGGACCTGAGCCAGCGGCACAACGAGAAGCGCAGCGAACTGATGCAGGCCGTCTTCATCGCCGAGCAGAATCTGTATCTGCTGTGGATCCACCTGGACTTCTACCTGCGCAACGCCGTCGTCTACGCCAATGAGAATCGCAACGCCATCAACGAGAGCCTCCTGGACAACGGCAACAATGTGTCCGTGCTGAATGCTTCGCAGGACGAGATCCTGCAGCTCAAACAGCTGCTCATCTCCACCTTCAACGAGACCTTCTGCACTCAGCTAATCACGGCCAGCGAGGACTACTCGGTCAAGTGCAAAGGCTTTAATGCCTCTCTGCTGCGCCGGATCAAGGCGCTCGTCCAGTTCGCTCCAGTCACTGCCAATGGCGACAATTCCACGTTCATCTCGTAGGCGCGGACCGCGATTTTAGTTTAATGATTCAAATAAAAATGTATGTTGATTTTTCTAAACGAAAGCCGATTTTTAAGAAGGGTATTGCAATAATAGTCAATGAATTTGAACGCAGTGAAGCTAACTTCAGGCTCCTCTCTAATTCTGTCTCTTTCTAGTTCAGGACTCCGATTGGTTTTTTATCCTACAAATACAGATAATAGAGTTCCTTTTTAGAAACTGAATATTTTCTGAGCGATATTTCTCGCCAATCTAATTATTACCATCCTTTTCTGTGATTAGTATACCCTTTCAACGCAGTGAAGGAGACACTTCCGACCCTATAAAGTATATATATTATTGATCAGCATCACTAGACAAGTCGATCTTGATTCTGGCGACTATATCATGTAGGAATGGTCGAAAAATTTGTTTTTTTTTTGTTCACATTCACCTATTTATTTATTTATGTTTTTTTTCTATTTATATACAATTGACTTAAAGTTAAAAACTAAAAGCTAACTAGTAAATAGAGCTTCAGCAACTAAGGATTTCAGCTCGTCTGAGGTAACAAAAATGCTTAATTTTACTTATGGCTAACAGTGGTTGAGCTTTTATATTTTATTTGTTATATATTTTGATTTGTTGGGTTTAAACAAAGATGTTTAATTTTACTTATGGCTAACAGTGGTTGAGTTTTTATATTTTATGGGGGTGTTTTGTTGTTTTTAGGGAAGGGAGTGATTTGCTATATATTTTCATTTGTTGGGTTTGGACAAAGATGTTTAATTTTACTTATGGCTAACAGTGGTTGAGCTTTAGCTTTTATATTTTATGAGTGTTTTTTGTTTTTAATGGTTTGGACAAAGATGTTTAATTTTACTTATGGCCAACAGTGGTTGAGCTTTTATATTTTATGGGTGTGTTTTGTTTTTAAGAAAGACTGTGATTTGTTATATATTTTGATTTGTTGGGTTTGGACTAAGATGTTTAATTTTACTTATGGCTAACAGTGGTTGAGTTTTTATATTTTATGGGTGTGTTTTGTTGTTTTTAGGGAAGGGAGTGATTTGCTATATATTTTCACTTGTTGGGCTTGGACAAAGATATTTAATTTTACTGATGGCTAACAGTGGTTGAGCTTTAGCTTTTATATTTTATGAGTGTTTTTTGATTTTAATGGTTTGGACAAAGATGTTTAATTTTACTTATGGCCAACAGTGGTTGAGCTTTAGCTTTTATATTTTATGAGTGTGTTTTGTTGTTTTTAAGGAAGGTGATAGTTTTTTTAATATTTTCGTTTGTTGGGTTTGCAATGAAGTTGATTGGGTTGTCTGTGGGGAAGGTTTTTAATCTATGTTGGGATAATGAAGGGCAGTTGATATTTACTTATTTACTTTCTTAAATTGAATTTAAAAATGCAATTCAAAGCAGTCCTTCCTTATTTATAAATTGTGTCTACATAATATAATATTTCCTAACTAGAAAACGTGGCAGTAATCATAGTGTAATACATAAAATGTAATTTTTACATCAGCTTAAACAAAGATTCAATTTATATGCAATTGAACATTGAACATTTTATGAACTATAGCACATTTTTTAATTGTAAACATCAAATGTCATGGATGACTAATTTCAGAGACCTAATTAGGAACTAAGTCCGCAGGAAGTCCCAGGCCTTTAATGGCAGCCATCAGCTCTTGGCTTTTTCCAAACTGCGATCGAAACGCAGCGGACAACTCGCAGAGAACCAGCAGCGGCTCGCAGTACAGGTTGATCTCCTGCTTGTCGAACACCTCGACATCCCCGTCTTCATCAATGTTCAGCTCGGAATCCTTCGCTTCAGAGGCCAGGAAAGGCTCAGCGATGAGATGGAAGAGTCGCAGGAGAAAGTCGGGATTGTCGGCCTGATTCTCCAGTTTTGCCAATACCACTTTTAGGAACTCCGGAGTCAGGGCACTGGGCAAAATATCCTTAGCCTTGGATCCCTGCTCCTGTTGGCCCTCGCTCCTAAAACCTGCACTGCACACCAGCTGGGCAGCCTTGTGACGTACCCACTCCGCCTCATCCAGTAGCAGGAGCAGCACCAGTTTTATAAAACGACCGACCACCTCAACGTCCACGTTTGCGACTCCCAAGCCCAGTTGGTCCTTTAAGTGGCTGCGAGCTAGCAAGTCGCACAGTTCCGCAGCCTGATGACGAAGGTAGACCGGCTGGACGGGTTCAACTAGGCGCAGGGCGTAGTTTAGCAGCGATGGCCAGTGCTTTCGCTCCAGGGTTTTTCTTTCTGCGATCAAACGTTTCAGGCCCAGCACCAGTCCCGCCTCCTGGTGGCTGGAGTACTCCTCTGAGCATCGGTGAACCAGCCGATTAAAATCCAATCCCGGGTCTTGGAGCAGGGGTTGCAAGGCAGCTAGCCTTCCGGCCAACTGGAGGCTCCAACATCCGCTGGTCGAAGCTTTCATCATCTGCAGTACGCAGGAGCGGATGGCCTGGGATTGATACAGCTCCTGGGCGATCTCCTCTCGCAGCTCGGGGCTGAGTGTCTTGTAATAGCGCCGTATGTCGCCTGCAAATTGGAAGTGCTCGATATCTAGCTCGCTAACCAGCGAGTGTTCCTGTCCCATGGATCTCTGTAGCAGGATATACAGCCACAGCTCCACCTTCAGCTCGTCCAGGGCCCAGATGGGATCAGACAGGTCCTCGATTATGTGTAGCACTATTCCCTGGGAAATGCTGCGCAATCGGTGGAGGTGCAGGCCAAACATCTGGTAGAATCGAATGGAGATTCCCTGCTCCTGGCAGCGTTTATGGACCTCCTTATGGTCCAGTAGGTACACCGAACCGATCTCCTGTAGAAGCTTGAAATCCAGAAGCCCAGGATCGACGGCATCCTCCATAGCAGCCACCATCACATCTACCAGCGCACTGAACGCACACACGTCGCGCTGAAGGATCGGAGCTGCCAGGGCGGCGAGGGTGTGCAGCAGCATTCTCGTCAACGAGGGTCTCGTCCAGAGAACCAAGCGGTGCAGATGGAGCAGGAGTAGTAATTGTCCGTGCAAGAGATTTGTGTCCAGGATGAAGACTTCCTTTTCCTTCTGCAAAGATACATAGTTGAAGAGCTTTGGTAGAGAAGCGTTTACATGCTGGCAGAAAATCAACCTACCTTCAGCTTTAATTGCAGCGCCTTGAGTTCCACGACGAGGCGCCTGATCTCGGCGAGCGCTTGCTCCTGGCTGACAAAGTTGGCCACCACCAAAGCAGCTCTTTCACGCGTCATCAAGTCGTGGGAGCGGCAGATCTTTATTAGGAAGGGCACGAACTCGCTCAACTGTTGGAAAATAAATATATGTAATACAAAGAAGGAACCCATAAACATAAATATGTAATTGGAGACCTGCACGGTAAATGCTACGAGTTATAGTTATCAAGGCTCTATATGGCTCTATCGGACAGATAGCTATCAGGGATTTTGTCAGGACTCGAAAATCCGTTATCATGACTCTTTTTGGTTTTTTGTGTTCTGAAGAATTCACTGTTGATTTTGTAAACGATAAAAAACGAGTCATAAAAAAGCAATGGCGATGCCTACGTATCCTCGATGTCATTTTGACTTACTCGTGCAGTTCTCTTATATCTAGTAAGCCCCTAATCTACTTACATTCAACGTGGACTCGGCGCCCTCCAGCGATGATGGATACAGGCGGCTAAGCATGAGCAGCATGGCCTCCAGCTGAACCGCCTGTCGACGCTTTCCGCCTCCGTTCTCCGCATCGCTGGCTCCCTCGGTCGAGTCCATCCGATCCGACTCTCGCTGCAGGGCGGCGTGGAAGTAGTCAAAGAGCTGCGGATACCGTGTGAAGAAGATTCGTCCTGTCATCCGGTTACGCACATGAAGTTCACCAGTCTCCAGGCGTGCCCGCTCCACTCCAAAGACGCGGACGACCAGGGCGGCGAGCAGCAGGGTGGCGCAGTTACGCTCCGCCCACTCCTCGGCGAGGAGCAGGCCTTCCAGGGCGCACTGGATACCCCGGGCCATGAACTCGGTGACCAGTTCGGCCAGTTCGCTGCAGCGGAAAAGGGCGCGCAGGATGTTGAGGGCGTGGCTGCGGGCGGTGATACCGGCCGATCCGGCTGACCTTCGCTCGCACACCTCGAGCAACCGGTGCATGCAGCGGTGGAGGGTGGCATGGGTGCCCAGCTTGAGTTCCGTGCAGATCAGCGCCTGCAGCATGAAAGGCATACCAGCACTGCGGCGCGTGGAGCACAGACGGGCCCCTTTACGAACCTCCTCACCGCTGACCATCGCCATAGCCTCGCTCACCCACTGGCCGGGCAGCTGGTTGAGACGCACTGAATCGCTGTGCCAGAAGCGCCGACACAACATCGTGAATCCCACATAGGCCTGCTCGAAGGCGCCGCGATGCTTGGTCTCTGCCAGCAGAAGAAGGAACTGCTCCCCAATGGTCTCCAGCTGGCCACTGCTAAGCAAGAAGTCACCCTGCTCCTGCTGCTCCTCTTCCAGTGGCGCCCACTGAACCAGCTCGCCCAAGGTCAGGCACACCTCCTTAATGCTGCGCCAGGCACAGAGGAGCACCATCTGGGGCGTGGTTCGCACCTGCTGCAGTGCCTCACTGGGCAGACGGCGGCTGAGCACGTTGGTCAGCGGCTGGTCCGTCTCCTGGTCGCGGGTGATGGGCAAGTGGCCCTCGGGCGAGGCGCTACTGACCACAGGCAGCACTACTCGGCTGACTTCCAGGCAAGTGGTCACCAGCTCCTCAATGTACCGCTTCCACGAGTGTTCCTTTGCCAGTTGCTTGAGATTGAGTTGCTGGAGCAGATGCCGGCTGGCAAAAAGCAATCCGTACAAGGGGTTCAGCTTGGCTGCCTCGGCAAGGTCTCGTTGAGCGAGGCATAGACCCTCCCTCAGATGATCCAGGCACCACTGCAGTGCCCTGTAGGTCCTTGGCTCATGCGTAGATCCTTCCGCTTTCATTGGCATTGGCAAGTCATGTTCCACCTCCTTGGCTCGACAGTAGACCTGTAATTGGAAGGCTCCGGTGGCCGAATCCGGTGGTCTCAGCGATAGCAGCAGCCCGATTATCTCATCCGGCTGAAAGCGGGAACGGGATTGAAGCGTCTCCAGCAGCTGGGCGGCCAGTACTTTGTTCTGCTCATAGCTGTCGGCCAGGCAGTGCTCTAGATTCGGCAGTGCTTCCGCAGGCAGTTGCTCCTCGCCGATTTTCAGCTTCAACTTGCGACTTAGCTCCACGCAATCGCGGAGCAAGTGCAGCGACAACCAGCGTCGCCCGTAATTAGCTGTGGGAAACAGATTGCGCGAGAGATCGCCGGTTAGGCGGATCAGCAGGCTGAGCAGCTCCACGCCCGCCGGTGTGGGACGCTTCTGGTGCTCGGCCAGACCGAGATGGATCCTCCTCAAAGCCTTCTGCAGCAGGCCGTAGCCCAGCTGACGCAGATGAGCGCTCGGATTGTTGGCATTGTGGCGCAGATACAGACTAATGGCCTCCGCCTCGGCCGTGGTCAAGTGTTCGCTGGAACGCGGCGTCTCCACCACGAAGCGCAGCGCCAAGAGGCGCGTGTGATCGTCTAGTCCGAGCAAGGCCTGGTCCACATCCTGCCTTAGGTCCCGCAGTAGCTCCTGTCGCCTCACGCTGAGCTGCCTCACGCTGAGAATCGCCGCCAGCTTGCTGCTGAGTGGCAGCCGAGCGTCGCGGAGGAGCACGTGGGCCAGTGTCTGGGGCTCCAGTTGGACCGCCTGTGTGAGCAGTTGTTCGATGACCGATCGCCGCTTCTCCGGCACTTGAATCGCCGCCAGAAGTTGGCCGAACCACAGGCTGTGCCACTCGGCGAGGGGCTGCGTCTTGTGGGCAGACACCATCATAGCTAAAGGGAGGATTCAATGATGAATATGATTAAAGGGGTTAGGATTTCGAAGTTCAGAACGCTCACCTTTGAACAGGGCATCCACGCTGTCCTCGCAGCCCAGAAAGCGCGGGAAGATGACTCCAAACAGCGAGGGACAGTTGTCAATGCACCGGCCCACTCCCGCAACCGCTACGAGCTGCTCCAGCGCTAGGCAGCTGGCACTGAGTGGAGCGGCACGACCTTCAAACTGACGATAGACCACCTGGAAGAGCTCCTCACGACCAGCATCCTGGGCGTGCTGTAGCACCTGGCGGAGCAGTGCGCTGCTCATGTGGCGCACCGAGTCCGTGGCATTGGAAATGTTCTCCAGTGCAAACACTTGCAATTCGGCCAGGATCTGCTGATAAACGATCTCCTGTTCATCGGACAGAAGGGCCTGGAACTCGCCCAGCGATTTGGAGTAGATGAACAGGTGTTTGGACAGAAAGACGAGCAGGTTGCTCACACTGCTCTCGCGCTCGCCCACGCTCACGATCCTCTTCAGAATAGCCAGTGCCTGTGGAGCGTAATCCGTGTAATCGGTGCGCCGTAGGACGAGCAGGGCGGCCGTCTGGACAGGAAGATCCTGTTCCGCCTGTGGCCTCGAGCACTCTGCGATGTACTCCTTGAATTTACCAGAGAAACGCGCCAGGTGACCGATCAGCAGTCCGGCTATGGAGCGTACATCCCACGGTGTGTCCACGTGGCGAGCCACTTTTTGAGCCACCACATCAGCCGAGCCTATCAACCTTTGGCCATCGCATAGGTGCAACTGGTCGCTCCACTCGGAGAGCAGGCTAACCAGGAATCGCAGCGCGTTCTGCACGTACAGGTAGAGCTCGTTGCGACGTGTCGGCGAGAGTTCCAGCGAAGTATCACTGTTTGGGAAGGAGGCATTCATTAAGTTGGGGCTCTGATTGGTTTGGAAAGAATTATCGTCCAGGCGGCGGAACCCACCTAATGTCCGCCCAGTAGCGTTCCAAGGCGGCGGGCAGTAGGGGTGCAAAAAGGTGCACCTGGTGGCCCAGGGCCTTGCGTCCGAAGGGAAAGTTTTGCAGACAGGCATTGGCGGACACAAAGACGTCGTTGGTGCGATCGTGGCTCTGAGCGGCCGTACTGATCCCCGTCAGACTTTGGGCCATCTCGGCAAGGGACTGTTGCAGTGCCTCCAGCAACTGCTCCTTCGAGTGCCCCTGCAGCCGTTTAGCATCCTGTTTGGCCAGGGCATTGTCCGAGAAGAGTCTAGGTGGATAGAATGTCGATTACCCAGATGGATAAAGTTGGATTGCATTGTTTGTGTCGCCGAGGGCTCACCGTACTTGGTCAGCTGGTTGCGCACGGCGTGCTTAAGCGGACTGGCCAGCAGGAGATCGGCCAGGAAGCGAGCCACTTCCTCATGATCCTGCTGCTGATCCTTGAAGAAGATGTCCTTGACCACCAGGACCTGCTCCGCACTGCTCTTGGCCGCCGCAAACTGACGCACATATTCCTGGGGAGCTGGAAACGATGGAGGCGTAAACATGTGCTCATCAACTGGTGGCCACGAAGTGCACCACAACTCACCCGAATGCCATCGCTTGGGCAGCGGAACGAGGGCGTCGCGCAGCTCCGCAAATCGCTTGGGATGCGCACACAATTTCAAGGCGGCCACGCGCAGGTTCAGATCATTCATATTTCTTTATTTTTTTGTGTATTAAATTACTTCCAGACCAAAAAAATTGGGGGAAGATATCTTTGGCAGTCCCGTTTAAACGGGTAAACGCCACGGCCTATGAGTGAAACAAGACACAAGTTAGGCGTTGTTTTAAACAATATAAAGAGTTAATTGTCGTACAATGATTTCCGATGAAATTGTTATCGATATATATTAGAACTCACCGGCAGCTAGCCAGAGGAGTGAGCGAGAGGCAAATAGAAGGCTAAAGCATTTCGCCGGTTCTGTTTTTTAGCGCGGTACTCAGACGAGCTAAGGAAATACCAGAAAAATACCAGATTTCGCGAGCGAATTTTACAAAATTCAAACTTTTGCTGTGTTTGTGCAGAATCGGTGTGGACACAAAAACTATTATTATTTTACTGCAGCTTTTGCATTGTTTTACATGACTGACACTCGTATGGAAGACTTATATTGTATCTGAAGCTGAGGAAAATCGGAGGAATTAAAAATTTCAAATGAAGCAGTGGCCTGGCCAAATGAACAATCTCGACAAACTTCTTTTGTTTGTTTGCATTGTTGAGGAAAATATACGAACCTATGGCACCTGAAAAACCCAAAAATAAATAAGAAAAGCAGTTACACATTTTTTTAATAGTTGCCATTACAAACTCCGATAACAAATCGAAAGCAACGCACATATGCTATCGATATTTAGTACACTGTTCTCAGTTAGCAAGTGCTCACACTTAACTTAGCCAGGACACCATCCCAACCATAAAAAATTTCCCTTATTTCCGGTACTGCCACTTGAGAACACTTATAGCTTAAGCGAGCACACAACCCACGTCAGCGTTGCCATACCTTTATGTGTAGACTTATTAGCGAGTACACCCTTCATTTAATCGTGCCTGTCGATAGTTCTGTGAAATATCGATAAAATTCTGTTGAACTCGATTTACTTAGAGTGACCGTTTGGAATATTTTTGGTATATTTGTAAAAGTAAATCTGGTATTAAAAGTATATTTCCTAACGGCGGACGGTATAATTGATTGATAATTCCGCGGTCACACTGGTTGGGTTATTTATTTTTTTTCCTGTGATTTGTTTATTGAGTGAGCCCTACGTTTTGATGTTTTCATTGATTTTGGGCGCGATGTTATCGATCCCGGATGGAAAACATTATTGGTTTCCAATAGGAAATGTTTGCATCATGTTTTCGCACGCCAAACGCTCGCTGTGTGAATGTGTGTGCGTGTGTGGGGTGTAAGGTGTAGTGGATGTGTGTGCGTGAGAGGGGGAGGGTACGTAAAAGTGTTTTTCCTCGTTTCCTTATAACTTATCTTAAAACTACAGATAACATCGAATGCAAAAGCCCAAAAATCATAAATGAAAATTCGGAGAAATCCACCTGGTTCTCTGTATGTGTGTGTGTGTGCGTACTCACGTTCGTGTTTTTTTTGTGCAAAAGAGAGAGGGAGAGAGAGAGGCTTTTCTTTTGTTGATACACCGCGAGTGCGAGTGCCAGTGTGTCTGTGTGTGTATGCGCCTCTCAGTTTTATGACGAAATGTGTATAAAATGTTTATGTTTATGTTTTTCCCCACCCCCTCCCACTCACACACTTACACCCATTCAATCTTTTAGGCGCCGCACAAATTTCGAGTGAAAACCGATCGGCAGAAATAAAAACAACAAAGCCCACCACAAAGTGGCGAAGCAACAACAAACAAAAAATCATAAATAATAGTGGGCAAGAACAAGTAAATAAGTAAAAAATCAAAAACAAACAAAACAACTGTATAAAAGACAAGGAAAGGCGTAAATTAAAGGTCGGCAGATGGGCGGCCAACGGATTTACGTGCCCTCCGCTGGCCATTCTCCCCATGCATGTTGCAGTTGTCGTTGTTTTTGTTGCACATGCAGTTGCAGTTCCCGTTCCCCCAGTGGTTGTTGTTGTTGCAGTAGCTGCAGTTGCAGCAGACCAGCGGCCAAAGCGCAGTGAGAGCGAGCGGGACGGCAAGCGAGCGCCACCAACGGTGCGAGCGAGAGGTGAGTGACTTGGGCTTTCTAACGGTTCCCAAAAAAACTTAAAATCGAGCGATCGGTGGAAAGGGAGGAGAAGGGTGGGTGCAGTGGGAGAAAATACAGTGATCACTTGGTAAGGGAAATGGATATTTAGATACTTTCAATCTGCTCAATTTTCCAACATTTTTGAATTTATTCTTAAATATTTCCCGACCAAATTAAAAAAAAAGGAGCATTTGTATTTTTGTTCAGACTTTCCAAAAGGTAATATAAACGAAACATTTTTATTCACTATTCACACAATTGCTTACAAGTGATAATACCATTTTATTTGAGTTAAAAGGCATTTTGAACAAAATAAATGAATTAAAAATTTTGAATTCTCAAATCACTAAGGTGTTTAAAGAGCTCTAAAATATCAAATCCCCATGCGGTTGACATACGTTTTTCTAAGTTCACTATGTATGCCTAATACTGCTGCTATATTTTCATAAAAGACAAAGTTATGCGGATTTTCCAAATTGTCATACGAAATGAAATTAATCCGATTAGGGTATTACGATTTAGTCTTTATCTTTGGATAATACTTAGGGCCTATGTCTATTTACAATGGAGGCAAAAACTATTTTGACAAAACTTAAAGTTTAATCTACTCATAATTTGAACTTACTTTATGTGAGTTTAAGCATCAATGGAATTTGAATAATATACAACATCTATTCATCCATTAAGTACCCATTGAAAAAGTAACATTTTTTGTGAATGTCTGTACTTTTTAACTTTTGACCAAAACTTTTCCTTTTAAAAGATCTCGTTTTGCTTATATGTATGTATGTATGTGTAATGATTTTTTGAATGGGAAGGTCCTTCAATATATATTTTTTTGGAGACAAAAATAGCTTTAAATTTAATTGTAAGCAATTTTCAAAATATCGTAAAAAATAATCAAAATACGTATACGTACAATATTTAAAAAATCGACTCGGATCCTTTTGAGTTTACGTGTCAACCGGCATTCGAGAAAAAACCCTATTGAAATGAGTAGCGCAAGCCAAACGACCTGAAATACATAACTTTCAACTTATTCATCTTCAAAGTTATTGGCCCCATCGATTTAAACTTATGGGGGTTTAATTAGGCAAATTAAAAAAAATAAAAAAATTACTTTGTTTTGAAACCCCTATGAAACTCCTTAATGCATACATGGTCGGCAGTGCAGGCCGATACAAAGTTCCAAAACATTGAGAGTTTGACTACGAAAGTTTTTACCAGTTACTTAACGATAGTAAAGCAAGCAAATCGTCTTTTTTTCCTTTTAAATAAGTTTGTCCCTAACAACGAAATATTTGACTCTCAGGTCCGTTTTTTTGTCCGCATGTTAAACTTTAAATTCGCTCTAAACTCTAAATTTCCATACGCTTTTAAGGGAAAACGGACCCTAACAGTTTTAAACCTAAAAACAGTCAGCCATTCAAAAATACAAATATATAACATGAAGTCCTTGCATCGCCTTCTGACTATTTTCAAACGATTTAATGTAAGTTTTTTCTTTATTCCTTATTTTAGTTTATAAACTAGTATTGTCTAATTTTAACAAAAATGGGTACACATTTAATATTTGAGACACAGCGAGTGATCAGCGTATGTTATTGTCTACCGATAGGTAGAACTGGGTGCATCCCCAGAAATTCTTCCATCTTTCCTGTAGCTGGCGTTTTCATTGTTTGTCACGTGCGGCCACTTGAACTGAATTGGGGGAAAAAATGCATGTATACAAAAAATAAAGGTGGGGGTTTGTTGGAATGGAAAGTGAAGAGCTAAAAGTGAAGGTGGGATGGTAATGGAATTTCTCTCTTACACAGAGAAAAAAAATAGATAAGATATGCTGATTATTTTGCTGAAATTCTATATCAATTCTATCTTGATACGAGCGGTGTCACTTTGATATAGTAGCAATCTTGGGTTTTCTCTCTTTCGGGGAGTTTCGTGTTACCCAGAGTGATTTTAGGAGGTATTTCCCTCTTTTCTGCCTTTTTATACCCGTTACTCGTAGAGTAAAAGGGTATACTAGATTCGTCGGAAAGTATGTAACAGGCAGAAGGAAGCGTTTCCGACCCCATAAAGTATATATATTCTTGATCAGCATCACTAGCCGAGTCGATCTAGCCATGTCCGTCTGTCCGTCTGTCCGTCTGTCCGTCTGTCCGTCTGTCCGTCTGTCTGTCCGTCCGGATGAACGCTGAGATCTCGGAAACTATGGGAGCTAGGCTATTGAGATTTGGCGTGCAGATTCCTGAGCTTCTTACGCAGCGCAAGTTTGTTTCAGCACAGTGCCACGCCCACTCTAACGCCCACAAACCGCCCAAAACTGTGGCTCCTACAGTTTTGATACTAGAATAAAAATTTTAGCTGAAATGTATTGTTCTCATCAATACCTATCGATTGATCCAAAAAAAAGTTTGCCACGCCCACTTTACCGCCCACAAACCGCGAAAACCTGTGACGCCCACAATTTTCATGCTAGATAAAAAATTTTAACTGAAATGTATTGGTCTCGTCAATACCTATCGATTGATCCAAAAAGAAATTTGCCACGCCCACTCTAACTCCCACAAACCGCGAAAACCTGTGACGCCCAAAATTGTTATGCTAGATAAAAAATTTTAAGTGAAATGTATTGGTCTCGACAATACCTAGCGATTGGTCCAAAAAAAAAATTTGCCACGCCCACTCTAACGCCCATAACGCTTAAATCTGTATACCGCCGGTAGGTGGCGCATTTTAATCTCGCTTTGCTGCTTGCATATCTCCATTTAGCTGAGTAACGGGTATCTGATAGTCGAGGTACTCGACTATAGCGTTCTTCCTTGTTTGATTTGAGAGATAGGTGATACCTTATAAATTTACCCTGCGAATATCAAACTGATCCCTGTATGTTTTAATTTCTGTGTAGTCTTCTATATCTTTTTGAATACTTCATCTTCATTAAACTCCCCCTTTTCTCGTTCTTCCCTCTCCCAGCCCCAGCCCTTAGCAATGGTCTCGAAGAAGCGTTCCAATGCCGCCGACCGTGTTCAGCGCTCGACGGCGACTGCGGCAGCGGCAGCAGCGGCCGCAGCAGCAGCGGCCTCCACGACGCAGGGCAAGAAGCGCCCCGGCAAGCAGACGACGAAAGCCTCCGGCGGCGGCGATGAGGCGGAGGACAAGAAGTCCTCCAGCAAGTCAGATTCTAGTGCAGCCAAGA